GAAATATAAATTGTTGCAGTTTTACTGTGCAATATTGCAAAAAGGAAGGTAGATGCATGTTTTTCCATGTTGCACAATGCTTTTTGGTTTAGAATTGTACAATTATATATATATATAAAAAAAAAAAAAACTAATTTCTATTAACTAAAGGCCAAACTGCATGCACATAGTGGGAAATCATTGAAGACAATGAGTTCAAATACTGCATTTCTCTTCCTCTCTCTCTCTCTCTCTCTCTCTCTCTCTCTCTCTCTCTCTCTCTCTCTCTCTTTCTCTCTCTCTCTCTCTTCAGAGCATTTGTATTTACAGGTATGTGTGTCTCTCCATCTCTGTTTGTATGGTAGTTATGTGGCTAAGAAGTTCAGGCTAATGGAAAGCTTTTTACAGAGCTAAAAACAGCATGCAAAAAAAACAGAGGTAAAGGAGAAATTCCGAGAGTCCAGATGAGATGAAATATTGCAACGTGATCTCGAGAATATGTATGTATTTGTACGTAAAGTGAGAAGAGAGTCTCCGATAATAATCAGCAAAATCATTTGTACACATCAATGTGCAATCAAAACTGACCTTTTTACTTTATAACATGGTTTTTGGTCTTATTGTAAATTATTAATACAATAGAGATTGCTTTCATAATTTTTCATCTAAATTCATAGTTTGACAGCAAGGATGGCCTGCTGGCCTGAGGCCAATGTGAACGTTTTGGACCAGAGCTGTGTTGCCTGCCTTTCAAATGTAAATGGAGCTGGGAATCAGATGGATCTGGAGAGATGTTGTATGGAGGGATGGTTTCTGATCTCTTGTCAGGTGTTTTCCAAACTCAACAGGCATTATACGACAAAACTCTGTTATCTTTGCTGTTATCTTTGCAAAAGGAAGAGCTGTTATCTTTGCAAAAGGAGGTTTCAAAAAGTATTTATTAAAAGGGTGCCAAAAATTGTGGCCAACGTGTTTTGAAGAAAAACATTTATTTCATAATGTTTGTTTTGCTGTAATGAAAGTTAGATTTTTGTAAAATGAATGAAAGAGCAAAATATTAAACTAAGCATAGTTATTTTTACAGCCATCTTTGATCATATTTACCAGGGGTGCCAATAATTCAGACCACAACTTTATGAAGAAATCTTTTATCCACAAGTTTCCTACGCCCCATGAGGCCTTGCGTCAAAAGTGGGCGCGACTTCCGGTTGGAAGTAAACAAAGCGTGACTTGACATGCTTGACACTCGTTCATTCAACAGTTGACAGTCATTCAAGTTATAGCGATCCAAACTAGCTAACGATGTGGGAACACAACCTCAACGAAATTCAAAAGGGTGAAATAACAGTACCTTTACCCTCCGCAGTCGTTGATTGGGAGTATTATAATAACATTATTAATTATCAATACTCATCAAGGCATGGTGACAAACAGATGTGCGAGCTGACAAACAATTCAAATAAAAAAATACACACTTAGTCATTGTGCTTTGGAGTTTATTCAAAATTATAAATGAATGTGCTACTTGAATACATTACTGGCACATTTGGTATTCTGTCAACACAGGCTTTGATCCTGAGTTTAGGTGTAACATCAGTAGCGAACAGCCAATCACATGCTGATAGAGTTTATAAAATATAAAGAATTTAAAAAAAATGTACACAGGAAGATTCGTCGTCTTTTGGGAGGTGATGGAAACTAACGTTACAGTCGTTGGCAGGATCAGAGACGGGCTCTGGCAGGATCACTCGTTTTCAGCTTATGTTCAAAACAATCACGTTTAAGCCACTGAACTAGTTTAGTCCGGTTATACATACAACCGCGAACAGCACATATTGTCCCTGAGCTCCGTAATCAGACATCTCTCATAAAGATTTGCGTCTTTAAATAGTAAAATAATTCTCAGAAAACAGCTAGCATCTTCGCTAACTAACACACAAAATACCATTGGAATGCTACTTCCGCCGCGTCACCGGAAGTTTCACCCACTTTATTTTTTACAGGAGCGCCCCTCGGAAACTTGTGGATAAATGTAATGCAGCACTCACAGAGTCTTTGAGGGGGAAATGGTCTCTGTGATTATGCAATGGTATTCTGTAGTCGGTTAATTATGTTGAAGGACTTTAATCTGGGAATTTTCAATTTCTGCAAATTACTGTGAGTGTAACTCCAAAACTTCAGACGAGCATGTAAGACCTAATGCAATGCTGGATTTTTTTGACCTTCACCCTGCTTCTTTTTCATCTGCATGTTGTTCCAAAAACTTTTTTATATGTTGCTTGCAAAAAAAAAAAAAAAAAAAAAAAAAGGCTATATCATCAGAATGCATAAATGTTAGAGAAACATGCGCTGGTTTTCCCAGTTGAAGTGATGTGTGATGAAGTGATCTGAAATGCAGAGTTCTCCATGTTGAGATTGAGATATTAAAGAGATCTTATTTGTCACTCTTCCTTCCTATCCATTTACAGTGGTGATTGATGGCTCTGACAGGGGAGTGTCAGGGAAGAGAAAGAACAGGCAGTAAACTAAAGAAATGTGTGTTTGTGAAGGTCTTTCCCTCTGGAGAGACGCCAGCAGTAAGCCAGCGCACTGAATCTAAACCACATGTTCACACTGACTGGCATCGAAACACACACACACACACACACACACACGCACACACACACACACACACACGTTGGGTTTCATGGCTTATGGGGAGTTTCATTAGACATAATGTTTTTTCATACTGTACAAAACCGTTTATCCCATAAACCTACCCATCACAAACAACTTTTTGCATTTTCAAAAAGCATCACTTGTGATTTATATGCTGGTTTCCTCATGGGGACAAAAACATTTCCCCTAAAGAAAATACATTTTGGATTTTGCCATTTCTGTGGGGACATTTTGTCCCCATATCATAGGGTTTACCAGAACAACACCCCCCCCCCCCCCCAACAAACACTCACACACACACAATCACACGTGTTTATTCAACTCCTGCTGTCCGCCCACACATAAAACCCGCAGCAAGTAAACGCATGCAGTGTATAATTGACTGTGAGTTGATGTATTATTCTGAGCTACATTATTCTCTCTCTCTCTCTCTCTCTCTCTCTCTCTCTCTCTCTCTCTCTCTCTCTCTCTCTGTGTGTGATGGATTTGATGGACTTGGCTTGTGTAGAATGCCAGCACAGAGTCAATTCACTCATTGTTTATCTCACAAATGTGCCTCTGTCCGTCTATCTCACACACCTGTAGTACTAAAGATCATTTAATTGGGCAATTTTTGTACAGTTACTACTTTTCCCATTGGAATGCCAAACATATTTTGTTTTAGCAAATAAGCCACGTACTAAATACGACTATATAGCCAGTAAGCTAAGAGGTTTTGTTGCAGTGTTTTTTTGTTTGTTTGTTTTTTTTAACCACTAAGAGATATTATAACGCAAAACGGAGTAAAACCCCTTTAACCGTTGTAAAATCACTATAACATTCAGCCTCTGCTTGTAGACAATTTCTTACATCTCACCCGTTTGAGCATAAATGATACGTTTATAAATGTACTGAATTTAAAGGTACTGAGTAATATAACTACATGTACTTACTAGGATTAGGGTTTGGTTTATGGTTAATTATATATAATAATTATAGTTATTACTATAGTAACTATGTAAAATAAAGTGTTACCCTCTTATGTTATGCATCCATTTAGAAGGTATAATGCATTACAAAACATGACATACAACCAATTAAAAATGAATCTGCAAATATTATAATGCATTTCATAAATTATTATTTATACAAAGATACAATGCATTCATATCTTCATAATGCCTTGTACACAGTGTTACCAAAATGTCTACTATTGTGAGATATCTCTTCCATGCTAAGCTGTGTGTGTGTGTGTGTGTGTGTGTGTGTGTGTGTGTGTGTGTGTGTGTGTGTGTGTGTGTGTGTGTGTGTGTGTGTGTGTGTGTGGAGTTGTAAAGCATTTCAAATCGGCAACATGTTAGATCTCATTTCAATGAGGATGCTGCCACAGAAGACTATGCAGTCAGTGAGGCAGATCACCAGGTTTTCTAACAGAGTCTGTCTTTGTGGATCAGAAGAACTCAGCTCAGACAAAGCAACATGCTAGACTCACGCACACACTCAGACACAATGGACATTAATCTCTCAGCTTGTGTCAGACTAGATGGGATGGATAAATGAATGCTACAAGGGAGGAGGGATGAAAAATGGACCTTGTCCTGTTTTTCTTTTCCCCCAGCCCCCTTCTTCTCTCTTTCCCCCTACCTCTTCCTTTCCTAAGTGCCTTGCTTTTGTCATCTTCTCCAATCATTTCTTTCTCATAAATGCACAGAAACATTTTAACTCTGTCCCAAAACCCAGTGAGTTGGTTTGCTGCGGCTGTCTTCGTACACTTGCTACATAAAATGAAACCTCACTGATTTGAAATGCTGTGCACATAGGCGGAAACCTTAGGTAGGCTAAGTAGAAATAGTGTGTCACACAAAGCGCAAAGAAGACTCGACTTACAATTGACTTCAGTAGAGTTTGGTTTTAGCATGTTGCTAAGCTAACTTAAGCATAAAAACACATTTGGGTATATTTTTAGTTGATAATTAGATTGTCCTGTTTTAATCAATCTATTTTAATAAAATGAAATCTGTATTGAATGAAACGTATAGTTTAATGAACAGTATGTGTCTGCCATTTGTTAAATGAGTTAGGATTTGCTAACTTAGTCAATGTATTATTGCATAGAAGGACACATGTGAGGCTACAATTGAATTGTTTTATTTCTTTCCAAAGGTAAACTAATGCTTTCTCTTTTTCTTCCCTAGTAAAAAACATGTGATCTGTAAGGATTGACCTCTGGAAGGATTGACCTCTCTGTCAAGTTATCTGGGTTTTTCTTTGCCTCAATGTCTGCCCAAACTTGAAAAAGGCCTCAATCAACTCTGAAGGTGCATGGAATAACTCAAACCATCTGGTTCTTCATCATAGAAGCAGTTTATTGAAAATCTCTCATGATTGACTAGATCTTCTTTTGTACTTGTCTCAATGATAATTCCAGAAGGTTAGCTTAATAACCTACACAGAAACAGATATGTGATACGAGTCACTACAAAGTGCAACAAAAGTACAAACACCATTGTCAAACATTCACAATTTACACAGCAACTCAACAGCAATGTAAATAAAGAAGCTTGTTATGCAGTTAGAAAGTAAAATGCTAAGCTACTAGCATTAAACACCTTTCAAACATACACAAAATATGTAGTCATTAAATAAAAATAAGTCTTTGTCCTACCAGTTGCATCTCAAAGTTGATGAAACATTGTGGCTTTTCAACAGTCTTTCTCCTTTGGTATTTTGAACACCAAAACCCACCAAATTCAGTAGGAGAAGCACATTTACTGCAAACAAAGTTCCCTCTTGCTCCCAGTAATCACACACACCTGGTGGAGTTTGGAGATGTGGAGTTTCAATGACCAATCAGCTACCTTGATTCTCCCAGGTTGCACCATGTGCTCCCAACCAATAGGCTGCACTCATTTTGATCTTAAATCTTCTTTACCAATGATGAATTTATACTTTTTAACCATGTCTCTTTTTTTTCCTTTTTTTTTCTTTCTCTCAAATTCAACTTAACACCTCCCACTTGAGCTCCTGGTCAACTGACCGAAGGAGGTCACACACACTTCTTAGCTGAAATGTCTTTACTGTTCTTCAATGGGAATCAGAACTACCAAACGTCTCACATCCCTACGCAGAATCGTAGCTGGAATTTTGTCACAATGCTTTTTTGTTGGTTTGACATTCTTGCCGGTTTCTGCTTGGTTTGGTTTAACAATCGAGACAGGATAGCTGGGGAATACTCTGACCATTACATCTCTCACGGTTCCTTTCTTGTCTGCATTTATATCGACGACTCTGGCCATCTTGTACTGACCTCTTAGAGCATTCTGGTCAGCCACCCATACCACATCTCCCACGGCAACGTTCCGCTCTTTAGTATGCCACTTGTTTCTTACAAAGAGGTTAGGACCTGCCAGCTGACACCAACTTCTCCAGAATTTGTTGACTTCTTCCTGGATGATTCTTAGCCTTCTGTATGGATAGCCTTCAAACTCAAAACTTCCTTGATCCCCCTTTCTCCCAGTACGACCCAGGAGAAGAGAGTTTGGACTTACATATTCCACACAGTCTTCTCGACTTTGTGTCCTGGCATCAATAGGTCTTTCATTGACCAGATTGCTTGCCGTGTAAAGAAAAGTTTGAAATTCCCCCCATGACATAACTTTGTTACAGCCTAGATTCAGTAGGGCCCGCTTAACTAAATGGACAGCCGCTTCTGCTGCACCATTCCGGTGAGGGGAACCTGCCGGGTGAATTTTCCAAGACCATTCCGTGCCATTCTTGGCTGCTTCAATTCCTAACTTTTCTCGGTCTTGTCGCTCTAGGAACTTATGAAGATCCTCAAGAACAGGCTTGGCCCCGATAAAATTTGATCCTGAGTCTGACCACAGTTTCCTAGGATGTCCTCTTAAAGCTGTGAATCTTTGGTATGCCAGCAGAAATCCTTCTGTTGATTGGTCACTGACAATATCAGTATGGATAGCCCTTGATGCCATACAACAGAACACAACTCCCCAAACTTTGAGTCTCACCCTCATCTTTATTTCATCTTTTACCCAATAAGGTCCAAACAAATCCAGGGTTGTGAATTCAAATGGTCCAGCTGGTTCTGACCGCTCTGGTGGAAGGTCTCCCATAATCTGTTGGCATTGCTTTGACCTTGCCTTCTTGCAGGTCACACAGCAGTCTACGGATTTTTTAGCTAGTCTGCGGCCTTTTATAATCCAAGCTTTTCTTCTCATTCTCAACAAAGTTCCAGCCACTCCTTCATGGTTTACTTGATGAGCTTCCTGAGCCAGAAGTGTAGATACATATGCATTATATGGTAAGATTGGAACTGCAGTCTTATCCTCATTGAAGATTTGAATTCTTCCTCCACAAACAAACAGTCCAGAATTTTCATCCTTGTACACTGCCAACCTACTGAGGGTAGTATCAGAAAAAATCACATTCTCTTGGGCTGCTAGAAAGAGATCTTCAAGGGCATCCTCCTGTTCTCTTACCGTCAAGATAGCTTCGTTGACACTTTCTTCCAAAGACTTTACCTCCCACTTTGATGAACCCAAGGTCTTAGTTCTTATCTTCAGCCACTTCTTCACAGCTCGACGCACCCAAGCAGTAACTCTGATCAGTCTGGACAATTTGCTGAATCTTTCAACTTCAAGTAACTTACTTGCTACTATGCAGTCATATATCCTTCCAGATGGAGCAATCTTAGCCTTTCCCTTCTGACTTGCAGAATTGCCTGAATCTGCAATGAGGTCATTTCCTCCTCCCTCATGAACGCCCACTTTAATTTTCTCCAGGAGGACGGAGCCTTTCTTTTTCTTAGCCAGACTTCTGGTTAGTACTGCAGAGAATGCTTTCCTCTGAAGTCTGTTAATAGCTTCTCTTGCAGCAGTTGCAATCTCAGCAGCTGACTTAATTGGCCAAACCTCCACTGGCCATTTCAAGAACACAGGCCCTCTCTGCCATGCAGAATCTTGTTTTAGGCCTTCTGGACTACCTCCCCTTGTGATAATATCCGCAATGTTTAAGTCACCTGGGATCCACCACCAATCCTTAACTAGCGTTGTTCTCTGGATCTCTCCAATCCTATTGGCAAAGAAGGACTGGTAGCCATAGCTAGCCCGTTGAATAGCTCCCAACACTGTTTGGCTGTCCACCAAATGGAACCATTGGTCAATTTCCACTTGGCAATGTTTCTCAATATATTTCTTAAGTCTTGCTGCATAAACTGCACCACACATCTCAGCCTTGACTGCTTCCCCTTTTTGATCCAAAAGAGTCAATTTGGCCTTGGACTCAATTAGCCTCACTTCAATACCCTGGTCTGTTTCCCACCTGAAATATGTTACAGCTCCATAGGTCTTATCGCTTCCATCAGAGAACGTTATTCCCAACGGTTTTCCTTTCCAGCCTCTTGGTGTTATGCCTCTGGGAAACGTTACCTTGCTTAGGTGAACATACTCCTCAAACACTTCAATAGCTTCTTCTCTGAGGTTTTCTGACAGTGGTTCATCCCATGTATCTTTGGCCAACTTTCCACGTCCTGCCTCCTGAAATGCCTTTCGTACAAGGATGGCCCCTTTTTGCTTAACCGGTGTGACCAGGCCAATCGGATCATACAATCCTGCCACCTGACTCAGTAGCATTCTTCTGGTCAGAGGATTAGGAGTCTTGGTCCTGACCTCCTCTTTGAGGAGGTTTTGTCCTATCCTCATTTTCTTCTTTCGCTTGGAAAAGTTAATTGATGTCATGATGTAAAGTGTATCCTTTTCTGCCAGATACCCAACTCCAAGGGCCTTGTTGTCTTTATCCCTCAGCTGGTTTGGAAGTTTTAGAATTCTGTCTTCTTCTGTTGCCTCTACTGACTCACCATCACCAGGCTTCCAACTTTCTTCTGACCGAATCCAGTGCTTCAAGAAAAACCCTCCAGCTCTTAAGATCTCCTCAACACCTTCGGTTATTTTGTCCAGCTGTTTCCGATCATTGTGGGAAGTCAGAATATCATCCACATAACTATCCTCTTCGATGACTTTGCGCTCTTCATGTAGATGAGAAAACTTAGTCAGCTTTGCAGTTTCACGCATGGCCAACTGTGCAATGCACCCTGCCGGTCGATCACCGATGTTAACTCTGGTGATTGCATATTCTCCTATTTCTTCACTCTGATCATCTCTCCACAGAAACCTATGTAGATGCATTTCTTTCTCCTCCAGCCATACAGAGTTATACATCTTCCTGATATCTCCAAGGACAGCATACACTCCTCTCCTAAACCTCAGAAGTACAGCTCTGATTGGATTAAGAAAATCTGGGCCTTTCAGAAGAAGATCATTCAAACTTACTCCTCTAAATTTCTGACTGCTGTTCCATACCAAGCGCACTGGAGTCGTAACGGAGTGAGGATTTGGTGCAATCAGGTGACTCACATACCATACTGGTCCATTCCAGGAATTAATTGCATCTTCAGTGAGCTTGATTGCTGCTCCGCGTTCCACCATTTCATGAATTTGAGCTGTATAAGCGACTTTCCACTCTGGCTCCCTCTTGAGCTGCTTTTCCGTTCTCAAAAATGTTGCCTCTACTCCACTTCTATTATTGGGAAGGGAAGCTGGATTTTCAGTCCAGGGATATTTTGCGTGCCAATGAGGAGACTTGCTGTGAGCATCATTCTCTAGATAGGTAAGACACCCTTTTATAATTTCGAGTTCTCTCTCCTCTACCAGTGTCATCTCCTTACCACCTGGCTGACAGTTCCCACAGCGACAAGCTCCACACATCGGTTCACAAGCTGCCCCTATGCTGTCCCACTTCCACCATTCCAAGAACTCACGGTTGCTAACAGCTGCAATTTTTGTCTCAGCTCTCAGTCTCAGTTTCTTGGGGTAGTTGGACTGACTTGGACATCTCTTGCATTTCAATTCCTCCCACTTCCTCTTCATATTTTACAGCGGCTGTTCTCATGGAGCGAGCAAAATGGGTTTTGGACTCATATGCAGATAGGTTAATCTCTTCAAATAAGTCTGGATGAGCGCCACCTACTGTTTTTCCCAAAGGACTGTCCCATAAGACAAGACCCCCCACAACCTTCACTCGTTGTGGGGCTAATCTCCCTTCTCGATGGCTAATAAGAAGTTCAATCTCTTTAGGTCTTACCAACTCTTCAAGCTTGACTTCAGGAAAGAATCTCTGCAATTGCTTAGGTTTTATGACCTTGTGCACTTTAGCAATTTCATCCAAGCCGTAACAAAGAAGCTCATGTGCTCTTTCTTTGTCCTCTTCAGTCTTTATTCTGACTCGAAGCAGATATCGCTTGGTCTTCACCTTGATGGCCATTCCAGCAACTCCATGCACTATCAGTGTGACATCTTCGCTCCTTAACCTCAAGCGTCCTGCAGCCTTGTGGGTTATATAGTTAGTATCTGATGCAAGATCTACCAAAGTTCCAACCCTCTGCCCCGCATTGGCGGTTACTTCCATGAGCATCATGATGACAGGTAGTTCTTGTACCCCACTTTCCTCTAGAAGGCCAACTTGGGTTTTTCCCGTGCGGGTCACTGTTGCAGCTTTGTTGGTGAAGGCATTTCTGCACCGCTCAGCAAGCTCTGGGGAAAGTTCAGCTAAAAGTTCCTCCTGCTCCGCTGTAAGCATATTTACTTTCCTGCTATCATTTAAAAACCTTTTCTCAGTGCCAGTGGTGGATTCTCTTCTTGGACAGATGAAATAATGATGATCTGGGGCATTTTCTCTTCTGCAATCTCTATTTTTACACAAGAATGTGTCTCTACAGTCTGCGTTACCTTCATGACATCCAAGGCACTTCTTACATGCTCCAATCTTCTTCAGAGCAGCTTTCTTTTCAGCTAGCTTTAGCTCCTTAAATTTTTTACAGAAGAAAATTTTGTCCTTATGATTTACAGCTCCACACACAGTACACCCACCATCAGAATCTTTCTTCGTGGATTTTGTAGATGCATACCTCCTTTCAAATCTATTTTCAGATTTATCTACCTTTTCTGTGACTCTGAGCTGTTCAAGTTTCTCAAGAACATCTTCCTGTCTTCTTAAAAACTCCAACAGGAGGTCAAAGTGATTTTCTGGAGTCACACCATTGTTAGGGTCAATCATGAAGAAAAGCCAGTCTCTTTTTACAAATTCAGGCAGTTTACTCTCAATAGACTTGATTACAAGAGGGTTCTTAATTGCACCAATGTTCCCCAGATCTGTCAGGTCAGATAGAGCTTTTTCTACAGTCTGGATCAAGTCTATCACTTTTCTGGGTTGATTGCCCTTCACACTCGGAAATCTCTCCAGTTCTTCAATAATTTCCATGGCAATTGTTACCTTGTTGCCAAATCGATTTTCCAGCACTCGAAACACATCCTCTCCGTTGCTGTAACTTGACAGCCTTAGGTCCTTAACGATTCTTTCATCCAAACTGTCCAGGAGCTGGATTTTCTTGACCTCTACTGATCCAGTTGGTTCACCTTGTTTTTGCAAACTTTCCCAGTCCTTCTTCCAACGGAAGAAATCTCTTTTCATACCACCAAATCTAGGCAAACTTGTTGGTCTTATCCTCACAACTGGTGTAATTGGCACTGTTTGAAGACCCGTGTTTGGGTCTAAAGGACCTGCAAATTGAGAACTTCTTTCAGCATTACGTGCAGTAATAAACTCGCTATTTCTTGAAACAAGTCCATTATTCTCTACTTTTAACCTCTTTACTCTGCTCTCAAAGTCCTTCTTCTCTCCTGTAGGAATCCATCGCTCCCAGCTGGATAGTGTTTTGACTGCTCTACTCACAAGCTTTTCCATGTGAATTAGATGAACTTCATATCCTTCACAATTGACACCAGCAACAGGTATTGAAGCAGAATGATCACAAGCTTTCTCAGCTTCCTGGACTGCAACAGTCAATTCCTCTTGGCCATACCTCTGCCACAAGTTGATTTGGACGATTTTTCGCACCTCTTCGAGCTTTGTCTCACAATCATTAACAGTCTTCTCAATATCTGCTACCTGCTGCATTTCAAGCTCCACTTTCTCATCACTCTTTGCTTTAGCTTCCAGCTCTGCCAGCAATCCCATGTTATAGTCATCATTTGCATCAAAAAGTGCTCTTGCACTAGAAGAGAGTTTCTGGAATTCCTTCCTGAGTTCAGACTCAATCATTTGGCTTGACTCTCGAATGAGAAGATTGGCTTGCTTTGTAACACACATCTTTGCAGTGGTTCTCTCTCGCTTAAGTTGGTCCACTGTTTTCCCCAAAGCTTCTTCTGCCATCTTGTTTCAAGTCACAAAGATACGTCTTCTTAAACACCTCAATTTACTGATGACTTGTTTTGACAATGTTGATTCCTTCACACCACCTTTACTTTCTGGACCATCGGAAGCCTTTAATCTTCTTATCCACAAGCGCTGGTTATTAAGTGTCAAGTTATCTGGGTTTTTCTTTGCCTCAATGTCTGCCCAAACTTGAAAAAGGCCTCAATCAACTCTGAAGGTGCATGGAATAACTCAAACCATCTGGTTCTTCATCATAGAAGCAGTTTATTGAAAATCTCTCATCATTGACTAGATCTTCTTTTGTACTTGTCTCAATGATAATTCCAGAAGGTTAGCTTAATAACCTACACAGAAACAGATATGTGATACGAGTCACTACAAAGTGCAACAAAAGTACAAACACCATTGTCAAACATTCACAATTTACACAGCAACTCAACAGCAATGTAAATAAAGAAGCTTGTTATGCAGTTAGAAAGTAAAATGCTAAGCTACTAGCATTAAACACCTTTCAAACATACACAAAATATGTAGTCATTAAATAAAAATAAGTCTTTGTCCTACCAGTTGCATCTCAAAGTTGATGAAACATTGTGGCTTTTCAACAGTCTTTCTCCTTTGGTATTTTGAACACCAAAACCCACCAAATTCAGTAGGAGAAGCACATTTACTGCAAACAAAGTTCCCTCTTGCTCCCAGTAATCACACACACCTGGTGGAGTTTGGAGATGTGGAGTTTCAATGACCAATCAGCTACCTTGATTCTCCCAGGTTGCACCATGTGCTCCCAACCAATAGGCTGCACTCATTTTGATCTTAAATCTTCTTTACCAATGATGAATTTATACTTTTTAACCATGTCTCTTTTTTTTCCTTTTTTTTTCTTTCTCTCAAATTCAACTTAACACTCTCACAAGACAAACACAATAAACCAGGTATGATAGTCTTACTCACATGCAGAAAATACTTTTTAACATTATACTAGGCCTACATGATGTTGCCGAAGGTGACTTCTGAAACCTGGTTAGCATTGTTGATCCTCCGGTTCTATCATCCCTAAGTCAAAGGGTTTTTCAGTATTGTACATTTACATAAAATCTAAAATAATACTTTATTCACCCATAGCACCCTTAGCAGCAATTAAAAGCAGTGATGTCTTAACATTGTAATACTCAGTTGGAGTGAGGTGTAGACCACTCCAGGACAAGCTTTTTGGTCTTTAGCCACTCTAGAGTTGCTTTTGTTGTATGTTTTGAGTAATTTCATTGTCCTGGAGAAAGAAAGAAAAAAAACGTTGTCTCTAGCTTGTGACAGAGATATGCATCCCCTAAGCATCAGACTTCCTATGGTCTTTTGAACAGTCAGATTTATGAAATGTACTGTCATCAGTTTCTTCCTCCTCATGACAATGCTTATGTTTTAGAGATTAGCTTGTGTTTTGACAATGCTTGTGTTTCTTTGGTAGCCCCCTATTCACAATCCAATCCAATTCCCAAAAGGGTAAAATCAAGTCTCCACTTTTTCCAACTGGATGTCCTGTTTCAGAAAGACTCCCTTTCTCACTCACTCTGCCTTCATTTTTGTGAAGGCATTGTTTTTTTTTTTTTTTCTTTCATTTTTTTTTTTGTTAATTAAAGTGTGCCGACAACAGCATATTGGGTGT